AAAAAAAACGAGACGAAACCCGAATGGAAAATACATGCAAACTCAATAAGAGACGTTTAAAAACCGAAAAAAATGCACGCATTTTGGAAAAAATTCAATTCAAAATTTGAGGCTGAAAAATTGGACGACACCGGAACAGAAAAATTCGAAAACGAAAAAATCTAACACGGAAAATTTAAACGATAGAAAACACGAGCAAAAATTTCTTTCACAAAACATTTCTTTCAAAAACAATTTCGACCCTGAAAAATTGGACGAAAACCGGAATAGAAAAATTCAAAAAAAGAAAAAATCTAACACGGAAAATTTCAACGATAGAAAACACGTGCAAAAATTTCTTTCACAAAACATTTCTTTCAAAAACAATTCCGACGCTGAAAAATTGGACGAAAACCGGAATAGAAAAATTCAAAAAATGAAAAAAAACGAGACGAAAACCGAATGGAAAATACATGTAAACTCCATAAGAGCCGTTTAGAAAACAAAAAAAAATACAAACATTTTGGAAAATATTGAACTAAAAACTTGACCTTGAAAATTTTTTAACAAAAAAATTTCTTTCGCACAAAAAAATGCACGAGAATCGGACTCTAGAAAATTACCCAGAAAATTATGAACTAGAAAATTATGTGGAACAACCTAACAAGAATTTTCACAAAAAATATCATTCAAAATATAAATAAAAACTTACCATCCGGTAGGTTCTCTCCATTTCAGTGATGACTGACCCGACCATTTTCAAACTTTTGTTCTTTTTGTCGAAATGAAAAATCACACGGAGCACTGTACGAAAAACGGTGGAAACTCGTCACTGAAGACTATTTTGAAGAATATGAAGTTGTGAGTATGTCTTCCAAAGATCTCGCAGTTTACATATCTCGAATTGTTTATTCTTTTCCTGTTTATTTTTCTTTTTTCGCCACGATCATTCGTTTTTTCGGCGGTATGTACTTTTCATCCTCCGTGTATTTATCAACATATACACGTATGCGTTTCTGATGAAATCTAGGCTTTCGTTTTTCCCTGTAATTCTCACTTGGCGACCGACCTGCGAGATATTTATCGAACAGTTCGACGTCGTGATCTCTCCAAATTTTATTCATTCTTACTGTCCTAAATATATTTTCACAAATGACTGACAAAAAATAAATCCAAGTTACTCGAAAAAAATTCACACCGGTCGGGGCAATATGATAGGAGTGCGGGTAGCATGATAGAGGTGGGGGGTATATACATCATATGAAATCCATGGTAGTAGGGGGGTCATGTGTGACGCCGACGCCGCAGCACTCCCTACGGTGGGGGTAGTGTATTGTGCGCATAGGCCGGTTATGTGTATGGTGGGGGGAATTAAGCGCGCCCCACTCTCATACCTAACGCTATAAAACGCGGCTGCTCGCGGGGTATTTCAT